TGTTCTGCCCGAGTATGTTTCGTGATGTTATGTTCTTCTCTATGTTGTCATAATACTGCTATGTTATGGTATGTCATGTTCTGTTGTGTACTGTTGTGCTGTGTCGTGTTTGTCGAGGGCGCGAGGCGGGACTTCCAGGGACACTCGGGAAAACTTGGGGTCTGGCGGCCGCGGTATGCAGTCGTGCTTGTCGAGGGCGAGGGGGCGGGATTCCCAGGGACTCTCGGGGATACTGGGGGATTGTCGGGACAACTTGGGGTCTGGCGGCCGCGGTATGCTGGGTGGGGTTGGCCGGGGGGCCTGTTCTTGAAATCGAACAGCCCCAAACCCAACCTGTCAGGTGGGGAATGATAAAACATGATCAAAATATCGTCCCCAGACTTTTTTTGACTATCTTTGAATATTCCTGCTGTAGAGGGACAGGCCCGACTTAAAAGTAGACCCCTGGTGAAGCCGATCGGCGTGCAGCCTGGCGTCTAGATCGACTTGATCACGCAGTTTGGAGCCACGCAATCATACGTGATCCACTTGATCTCGGCCCTCGGTGCGTGTGTGGCCGAATTCGAGGGGGGCTCGTCCGGATGCGGCGGGCACAGAGACGGCAACGCCGAGCCAGATGGCGAGGAAGGCCTCGAGACATTGACCCGGCGCGCGGGCGTGCCAAGCTCAACTGCGGACATCCGCCACGAGTGGACCACACCGAGCGGCAACTCAGGGTGCACTCAAGGCGCCGTTTGGACGCTGCGGCGCAGCAGCCCCTGAGCGCGAAGGGCGCGTTCTCACGGAGCACGCGAGCGCGCAGCTCGGCGGGAAGGAGCAGGAAATGGTGGAACTCGTGGCGGGCGCCACAGCGTCCCGGAGGACGGCCCCCCTCCAGGAACACACGCGGGGCCGCCGCAGCGCAGGGGTCAACTCTTCGGCCGTGCTGCAGGCTCGCGCTCCTTTGTTCCCCGCTCCCCGGGGCGCGCCGAGGCGCGCGCCAGCTCTGGACCGCCGAGCGGCCGCCCCGCACGCACTCGGGGAGCGGGCCTGCGCGGCGGACGTGGCGGCCCGCTCGGGCCCTTGCTCGCGGGCCGCGCTCCGCGAGCGCGGCGGCCGCCGCGCCGCCTTGGGCCCCACGGCCTCGTGCTGCGTCGGCGGGGTGCTGCCGAGGGGTGGGCTCTCGGGCTCCGCGTGCGCTGCCGCTTCACCCTTTCGCCACGCGACTTGCAACCAAGCTCCTCCTCCTGCTCCTGCTCCTGCTCCTGCTCCTGCTCCTCCTCCTCCTCCTGCTGGTGATCCCAGCCCCCCCCCCCCCGAACGAAACCCGCACTCCGACTGGGGCCTCAAGCTCGGGCGACGCTCGACGCCTGCTCTCGCCACGGAGCCGCTGTGCGGCCGCCTCCAGGAACGGCGTGGACAAGCAACTCGGGCTTTGGGGGACCGGCAGTCGTGTGCCCTGGCCCAGGAGAAGCACGAGATGCGCTGGCTCATACGACGGACAGGGGAATTCTGCGTGTCGCCTCCACCAGTCGACGCGCCGGGAGGGCAAATGCGGGCGCACGCGTGCGCGAAATACCCTACTCCGAGCCTGACGAGGACTACAGAAGGACGGAGAAAGATAGAGAGAGAGAGAGAGAGTGCGGGAGCCCGACGAGCAGGCGAACCACGGTGATGAGGGATGAGGCGGCGGCGGCGGCCAGGGAGCAGAAGCAGCGGCGGGGCGGCCAGGGAGCAGAAGCAGCGGCGGCCGCAGCAGCAGCAGCAACAGCAGATGAAACTGTTTAACGGCGCCGCCACCCCGCGGCGTGCGTCCAGGCGCGGATCTCCCAGGCCAATGCGCGTCTGGCCGTGGAGGTGCCTCGCAGCGCACCCCTCCCGAGCCACCGCGCAGTGGCATTGACCCAATCCTCTGCCTGCCTTGGCGGTGCGCACAAGGGGGTTGGAGGGATGGGGGAGGGCTTCTTCGAAGGAGGCTGCTTCTCAGAAGGCGCCGGCCTTACATCTATAGATACGGCCCGCGCCTTCTGAGAAGCAGGGGTGCTTCTATAAAAGAAGCCCTCTCCCCCCCCCGCTCGCCTCTGCGCGTGGCTGCCTGCCCCGCAGCAGCTGGGCGAGCCTTGATGTGGGCCTCTCTGGACACCTGCGGCCCTCAGCACCAGAAACACGTGACTCCGACGGGTTTTCGCCAGCCTTCGAACGCCCCTCGTCACCCTTTCGTTTAAATGTCGTCCATATTGTCCATATTTTGAAAAAATGGGGGGATACCCCCCCGACGGGGGTCAACCTCGCCTCGTCGTCGCGCCGCGACGCGGGTCGGAGCGCCTTCGGCGCGCGGTGGCTGCCCGCGACGGGGGTCGATGTGGGGCTGTCGGCGGGGGTGCCGACCCCCCCCGACGCTTATTGAGAAACGCGGAATAATTTTGGAACCCTCTGAGGGTCCCGTGAAGGACCACACGACAGCAGGTTTCTGTGGTCCCCGGCACTCCGCCGCATCGACCTCCTCCCCCCGGCTCCCCAGGGGCGAGGCAGACCTGTCACTGCATTGCCACTGCGGCACTCGGGCCACACCTCAGTGGGGGCCGCGCAGGGCTGACCGCCGCCGTTTCGAGACGTCGCGGAGGAGGAGGACGAGGAGGAGGACGAGGAGGAGGAACCAGAGGAGGAGGTGGAGGAGGAGGAGGAGGAGACCGCCGCCGTCGCGGGCAGCTCTTGGGAATCCTGGCTGGGCTCGGGCTCAAAGTTGGGCGGAGGAACCATTCGACGGCCTGCTCGCGGCCGGGCTGTGACCACCCCGTGCACGGCATTGCCGGTCTACACGCTAACTCCAGCCTGGATTGGCAATCCGAAGAGGACTGACAATCCGAGGAAACGCAATCCCCAGAGGATTGGCAATCCAAAGAGGGCTGGCCATCCGAGAAAGACTGGCAATCCCCAAAGGATTGGCAATCCGAAGAGGACTGGCAATCCGAGGATTGCCAATCCCCTGGGGATTGCCAATCCTCTGGGGCTGCCCCTCCTCTGGGGTTGCCTCATCCCAGCCTGCAATGACCCAACATATTCGATGTCTTGGTTAGATTCGATGCGGGGTCCCCAGACGACCCGACCCCTTCCCCCAGGGCCAGCGTGTCATCCTGAGTCGGCTTGTGACGGTTCCGGCGCCGGACGGGGGACCCACAAGGCAGAGCACTGCCAAAGACCTCCCGTCATAATTTGTTCCACGTCGCGAGCATTTCTGGGACCTCGACTGGTGTCCACGCGGAGGTCGGCTCAGAGCCAAAGGGGCCCCGCAGTCCAGCGCCCAGCCCGCCGACGACGACGCCGCCGCCGCCGCCGCCGACGCCGAGGACGAGGACGGCCCCGTGCTTCTGTCGGGGACCTCCCGCGGGGCTGCGGGCGGGACCCGACGGCCGGGGCCGCAAGAGGGCATGCGAGGCCCCTCGCCCCGGAGGCAACCGACCGGGGGGCCCGCCCTGCCGCGCCGAAAACGTCGACGGCCAGCGCCGGCGCCGGCGGCGGCGACGGGGTGCTCCCGTCGGGGTGCTCTGGCGAGGCCCCGGGCGAGACCTAACGGCCGGGGCCTCCGAGGGCGAGCACCGCCCAGGTCTCCCTGGAGGCAACCAGCCGAGGGGTCGGTCCAGGCCCGCTGAAGACGTCGACAGCCGCCGCCGACGACGGCGGCGGCGACGAGGTGCTCCCGTCGGGGTTCTCTGGCGAGGCCCGGGGCGATAGGGAGCAGAAAGTCCACCCTCAGAAGGATCACCCCGACACGCGAATCCGTTTCGCAAACGCACCCGAAGAAGGAATCGAACAAGGCAGGGCTGTTTAGTAAACGCCCAGGGCCGTCTAGTAAACGCCACTTATCGGGTCTGGGTGGTTTTTCCTCCCTTGAGGCGAGACCGAACGGCTGGGGCCTCCGAGGGCGAGCGCCGCCCAGGTCTCCCCGGAGGGAACCAGCCGAGGGGTCGGCCCTGGCCCGCTGAAGACGTCGACAGCCGCCGCCGACGGCGACGGCCTGGTGCTTCTGTCGGGGATCTCCCGCGGGGCTGGGGGCGAGCCCTAACGGTCGGGGCCTCCGATGGCGAGCGCCGCCCAGATCACTCAGGAGGCTACCGGCCGAGGGGTCGGCCCTGCCCCGCCGAAGATGTCGAATCGCCCCCCGCGCACTCCTGGAAAGCAGGACCCCTCCCAGAGGAACTGCCGGTGGCGTGGGCTCTCACAGAAGGCATCGTGGCGCAGAGGGGCACGGAGCATGGAGGTGCAGGGGGGCCATTCCCACGAAACGCCGAGGGTGGGCTGGCCAGGCTGACAGTTGGTTGCCCCTTCAGCCAAGAGAAACCGCACAGAAGTCTTAGGCCACCACTCTAAGACACGAACCCAGCGAATTCTGAGCCCACCTCCTGGAGCTTCTCGATCGCACTCCCCTGCGCGAGGATATGCGCAACTGCATTGACTGGCAAACTTGACCAAACACGAGCTTATTCGAGGTATTCCCAGAAGCGGCGGGGCACGGTCTGAAACCGCACAAACCGCAGACTCTCAACAAACATTCAGAAGATCCGAACACAACCCACAGATGTTTGGAATCGACTGTACAAAACAAGTCCGAGTGCAGAGACGTTGACGAGGCGGATGGTCGAAGGGGTCGAAAGTCTCGAACTGTTCAATCCTCAGATGATCCGAGGACTGCACAGCTTCAGCCTCAGCCTCCACAAGGTTCCAGAACTCTTCACTGTCAACGATCTGAAAGTGGACTGTGGGAGGAGGAGAAGGAGGCGGAGGAGGAGGAGGAAGAGGAGGAGGAGGAGGAGGGAACCTGATGCAACCTCTTTGCGTGACGCCGGCGCTCTGCGGGAGGGGTGGTGGCGATTGCCGCCAGGCTCCGCAGATAGCATGCTTTGACTTGCGGCTGCGCGCGGCCGCCGCAACGCACCAAGGCCTCAGCAAAAAGCACGCGCCACGACCTACAAGATCTACCCACTGTACCGCATTCGCACCGGGCATCCGCGCGACAAGCTCCGTCAAGCGCCCCCCGCGGCGTGGTGGGCATACCTGCACCCGTCGCCGTAGGCACAGCTGCCGAGGCGCTGGTAGTTGCGGCACACGTCGCTGCGAAGGCTGCCTGCTGCAGCCTGAGGCTCCCAACGCTGTGCAGTGCACGTGTGCACATCTTTGCATGCCGGGGTCGATGCCGACGCGATTTCCGAGGTGGATCCAGCCGTGGGCGAGAAGCCTCTAGGAGGACCAAAAGGGATGACAGACGCCATGGAGGGCCGCTGCTGTCACGACTGGCAGGATCGGTCAGCATCGAATCGGCAAATCGGATCGAATCGGAACGTGCGTCGGATCGAGCCGCATCGGCACGGAGTCGAGGTCGAATCGGATCGACTGCACCAGGATACGCAAGAACGCCATGCAAGCGTCGAACTGCGTCGGATCGGCGGGAGATCGTAATCGAATCGGATCGACCTGGCCGCAACCGATATCGGATCGGGCCGATCAGATCGGAACTGACTCTGGCTGCGCCCTCATCCGAGAATCGCCGCCAGCACCTCCTCCGCTGTCGTCGTCGTCGTCGGCGGCGGCGGCATCGTCGGCGTCGTCGTCGGCAGCGGCGGCGGCATCGTCGGCGTCGTCGTCGGCAGCGGCGGCGTCGTCGTTGTCGTCATCGAAATCGTCGGCGTGGGTAGCCACGGCGTATGCCGAAACGCTCGCCTGGCATTTGGCACCACGACCCCCCGCGGCCTGGGCGCTGCCCGCCACGTGCAGGAACCGGCACGCGGCGCCGTAGCTGCAGCTGCCCCGCAGGAAGGCCCTACAGCGCTCGCCGCCGCGGCCCCCTGAGAGGCCGGCAGAGGAGGGCCTCCCCCCAAGACATGCCCGCGTCTTTGACAGATCAGGACGGCAGGTTTCTGGTCGTTTTGGGCCTCTGGGGGCCTCTGGGGGCCTCTGGAGGCCCTTGCTGGGCCCGCGGGCCGTCAGAGAAGGACTCGGAATGGAAAATCGGCCTTGGGGAAAGGGTCGGGACTTCTGGGGACCCGGTATTGCAAAGATCAGGGCATCGCATGTCTGGGCCCCGCCGAAGCAGCCCAGACCGAAGGTCGGCTGCACGCAGGAATGGCCCTTGGCAAGAGTGGCCTTCGGTGCGGAGGGCGCAGGCTGGCCAGGCCTGAGCGCAATCTGCTGCTGCCTCTTCGCGGTCAGCGATCAGGGGTACCCGTTGGGCTCGCACCGAGGGTAACTCTGGCGAAAGGTCACTCTTATGTGCAGCCAAGAGGGGACACCTGAAAAGTTTGCAGCATCTGAACAGAAGAACAAATTCACTACACCGGAGAAAAAACCCAACCAGTGCATGATCCGAAAATTCGATGACGGGCGTCTTTGGGGGGGGGCGACGGGGGGTATGACGTAACGTCCCCCTCCCCCGCCGTGGCTCCGGCACCACAGCCGCGCCCGCGCGCACGACGACGATGAGCGATGAGCGACGAGCGACGAGCGACGACGACGACGACGCGACCATCATGTAGGTGGCGATCTGCCCCGCAACGCCTGTGTACACCACAGTACTCGCGTTCACCACAGCGCGCGTGTACACCACAGCGCCTGCGTACACCGCAACAGCCGTGTGTGACGCAGCGCCTGCGTACACCACAGAGCTTGCGTGCACCGCAGCGCCGGTGTACACCACAGTAACAATGTGCAACACAGCGCCTGTGTTGCACCACAAAGCTTGCGTGCACCGCAGCGCCTGTGCACACCACAACGCCTGTCTACACCACAGCGTCCGCGTGCAACGCAGCGCTGGTGTACACTACATTGCCTGCGTGCGCAAGACTCGTAGAAGGAACATGTCGGTGAGGATCTGCTGCGGACAGCTAAACGCCACGCCAAGGACATGCTGAGAATAGAATGCGACGTTCTTTCCTCCTCCTCCTCCTCCTCCACCTCCTCCTCCTCCTCCTCCTCCTCCTCTCTCCTCCTCCTCTTCCTCCTCCTGTTCCTCCTCCTTCCCCCCTGTCGTGCGGGTCGGCGCTACAGCGCATATGCGCATCTCAGCGTGCACTGGAGACTGGTCTATTGAATCCGTCCACTTGGTTTTCGGACTGCCAATCTTGCTGGAGCCTCCTGGACGCAGATGGGAGGAGTTAGGATGATGCGGGCGGACTCGGGAGGACTCGTACATTCCAACGGAACTCCTTCCCCATGCCCTATATCAAGCAATTGTTTTCTATGGAATTCGCATGCGCTCCATTTTGTCGTAAGGATTCCTCCTAATATAATATAGGCAACAGTGGTGTTCTGTGGCACACGGCTACTGTGGCGCTGTAGTGCACGCAAGTATTGTGTGTACACTGGTGCTGTGTTGCACACGGCTGATGTGGTGTAGGCATGCGCTGTGGTGTACACAAGCGCTGTGGTGCCCGCAGGCACTGTGGCATACACACACACACACACACGCACACCCACTGGCGCTGTGTTGCGCGCGGCTGCTGTGGTGTACATAGGCGGTGTGGTGTACACAGGCGCTGTGGTGCACGCGGGCACTGTGGTGTATATGGGCGCTGTGGTGGAGATCGCCACCTACATGCTGCTGATGCCCGTCCTCGGCCGTTCCTACGCATTCCCAGACGCCGCCGGCGCGAAACTTGACGTCATCGCCACCCTCCGCCCCCCCCAGATGATTGCCGCCATCAGCCCAGAGCTTCTTTGTTTTTTAACACTCCAGCCACGTCCGCGCGCACGACGACAATGAGCGACGAGCGACGAGCTACGAGCGACAACGCTGACGACGACGACGACGACGACGACGACGACGACGACGACGACGACGACGACTGCGGACCAGACTCCTTTGCGGATTACCATCTGGACACCTATGCGGATCCCGATGCGCACGGCGGCAGTGCCCAGAGCGCACTGGGGGGGGGAGCGTTGCGTCATAGGGGGGAGGGAGGGGGCCATGACGCCCGTCGTGTCCCAAGCAACAAAGAAACACTTTCCACCATGCCCGGCCGCGGTTTCGCAAGAGGGCTTTAAGAGGCTGATTCATTGATTGCCATTGCGCGTTGGAAGGGTTTTGGCATCCTCGCCATTTCGGGCATCCGTCGGCTCAAAATTGCCGAGGGGGTCTCTAATATTGCCCCAGGACGGCTCACGAGGGGCCCAAGACGACCCAAGCGGGTCTCCGGAGGTATCCCCGACGACCTGAGAGGGCGGCCCGGAAAAAACATCAGCATCAGCAAAAGAGAGAGAGAGAGAAACAGAAAGAGAGAGAGAGAGAGGGGGGGGCGCCCACCGACAGCCGCCCACCGAGAGCAGTCCACCGAAATCAGCCGGCTACTTTCACCAATCTCTTGAGGGGGCGCCCACCGAAAGCCGCCCAACGAGAGCCTTCCACGGAAATCGGCCCTCTACATTCGCCAATCTCTTCTATGTCCGCTAGGACCCCTTCAGCGTAAACACTGGTTGGGGAGAAACGGCAAACACTACCTTTCGGATGTCCGCGCTGACTTCTCGGATCTGCGCTGGCCCCCACTCCCTGGCGCACGGAGCGTGCCAAGGGCGGCGCTGGAGGCGCCGCCAAGATCGTAGCAGTTCCGTGGAAACTCATGGGAGCCTCCCATGCCGTCTTTCTGGCTCTTGCGGGGCGACGCTAACCGACGCTGCTCGACGCTAATCGATGTAATCTCTGAGGAATGCATTGGGCGCCGCAGCCCCGTCAGAACGTTGCGGGCGGCTCTGACCGCGGTCCAGAAGGCTCTGAAGAGATCCATCCCGTTGCTGGAAACGATTTAGCATTAGGTCGGGCGTGTCCTTCTACAGGCGGGCTTTGGACGAAAAATAAAAGATAGATCGCAAATAATCAAGCATGGTCAAAGAATACTCAAAAATCGTCCCCAGACTATTGTGTGACTATTTTGGAATATTCCTCTTGTAGAGGTAATGACAGGCCCGACTTAAATATAGCAGGGGCAGAGAGGGGGGCGAACGAACGAACGAACCACCAGCGCGGACAACGGCCCCGGGACTCGTGAACCAAGGCGAGTGGGGCCTCAGACTCAAGATGCTGCGGTGTATTGAGACCTGCGCTATGTTTAGGTCGGGCATGTCCCCCTACAGGCGGATTTTGCGCGAAAAATTGAAAACAATAAAAACATACCCCAAAATAATCAAACATAGTCAAAACATCGTCCCCTGACTATTTTTGGACCAATTTTGAATGTTCCTCTTGTAGAGGGACAGGCCCGACTTAACGCTATGTGGGACAAATGAGGAGGCAGAGGAGGCATCCCTGCAGCCGATGTCGGGGAGGGGGGGTGGAAGGGGGGAAGGTCTTCGCGCCCTCGCGAGGCCGCCCGGGAGAAGAGCAGCTCCCTGGTCGAGGCTTCAGAGCGCGAAGCGCGATTGCTTTTCACCCCCTTTGATGGGCCTGTTTTCCGCCACCACCACCACCATAACTTGGAGGGGGGAAGGAGGTGGTGGACGAGGAGGAGGAGTACGTACGAAGAGGAGGAGGAGGTGGAGGAGGAGAAGGACACCCTCCCCATCCAACATATGGCGGTGGTGGAAAAAAGGCCCATCACCCTTGGCGGTGACCTAGAAGACTGGGATCTGGAGGGCAGCTCGGAGGAGCGAATCAACAAGGGCCGACGTGGAGCCCAAGGACCCCGCGTTCCCTGAAGGCTCCAGTGGAGAGAGCGCAGTGCCGCCCATAGAGGCCTCCCGAATGGGGCCCGAGCAGATGGGGTCGGAGGATCGCGCCGCATCGCCAATGCATCGTCGATAAATGGGCGGCGTCAACGACGCACTAGCGCAGTCGGCGTGGAGAAGATAGAGCTCTACATCGAGCCGTGCCGCCGATGCGGCGCGATCCTCCGACCCAAGCTGCTTGGACCCCCCGATTGGGAGGCCTGGAGCCCAGGCCCCCGACTGGTACACCCCCCTCCCTGGTCTGGGCCACTCACGCGAGGGGCACTCTTGCCGAACTCCGGCCTCCCTTGGCGCTGGGGCCGCTGGAGCCCTCCAGCATCGGCGGCGAGCCGGCTTCCTCGCGCGCCAGCAGCGTCAACCCCCACAATATGATGGAGACGCGGCCCTTGCCGTCCTGGTCCTCTGTGGGCAAGGCGTTGATGCCGTGCTGCCAGCGGATGTTGACGTCCCGGCCGAAGAAGAAGAGCATGCCGTTCGTCTGGGGGAAATAGATCAACTCTCCGGTCTTCGCGTGTCGGAACGCGAGCTCCCGTGAGGCCCCGAAGGAGGCGCCCACGGTACAATTCTGCTTGGCGGCCCTTTGCGGGTTGAACGCCGCGGAGTCGTGGTGGAAAGGCTTCCAGTCTGCGCCGTCGCGATACCAATTGAAGCGCGTGCCAACAGAGTTGCCGTCGCGGCAGTCCTTGTTGGCAATGTGGAACGCGTCGCAGATCCTGTCGATCACGGAGCGGAAGGCGTCCGAGCCCTCCGGCCTCTTCGTCAGCAGGTGGGAGCCCTCGTGCCAGGACTCCCATGTGGAGGTCGATCCCTTCCCTGTATCGTCTTCGCGAGCTTGACGCAATAGATCATAATACAGATCCCAGTCGCCGGCGTCACAAAAGAAATTCGGAATCACAATGACGTCGTCGTGACTGAGGTCGCGCAGCTGCGCGTGGTCCTCCAGCGTGATGATACGCATGCACGGGCGGTTGGAGTCGTGTGTATCATGCACACGGGTGCCCTCCTGGACCAGCCTCAAGCACATCCCCAGTCAAAAGGTCTTTTGGACTGGAGACCGATCTTAGCAAATCTTGTGGTTCTCACTGCTGCAGCCGAGATATGTCGCAGCTGCAACATAACTGGCTGGCCACTCGGGTCCTCCACAAAAAGGCTCTGCACAATAAAGCCGACACATCGTAAATCATGTAAGCCAGCGTGGACCCCAAGCAGGGAGTTCTTGAACTGGAGGTAAATGACAAGTGTAAATTAAGTTGTGCAAGCTGTGCGGTGTGAGCGAGGTGGTAAACTATGTTGTGCAAGCCCTGTGGTGGAAACAATGCTGCGAAAGCGTTGTGGGAGTTATATGGTGTGAGCTATGCTGTGTAATACATGTGGTGTGAGCTCCCTTGTGAAACTGAGCAATGTTAGCTGTTCGGTGTACGCAATGAGATAAAACTTGTGCTGAGAAGCCACGCTGGACTAATTAACCCACCACACGAGGCGGCCACAAGCAACAACGTGGCGAACCTCGCAGGCCCCGCCTATCGCACGAGTCGGCCACGAGGCGGCCACGGGGCGGCCACGGGCGGCAGCGAGGCGACACCTCGCTGGAGCCACCCAGCGCACGAGGCGGCCACGAGGCGGCCACGGGCGGCAACTTGCCGAGGCAGCCACGAGGCGGCCACGGGCGGCGACCTGGCGACACCTCGCTGGGCCTACCCAGTGCGCAAGGCGGCCACGAGGCGGCCACGGACGGCAACGAAGCGAAACCTTGGACCCACCCAGCGCACGAGGCGGCCACGAAGCGGCGACGGGCAGCAACCTGGCGAAACCTCGCCACACGCACTCAGCGCACGAGGCGGCCACGGGCGGCAGCGTGGCGAAACCTCCCCAGCCCAGACCCACCTTACGCACGAGGAAGCCACGAGGCGGCCACGGGCGGCAACGTGGCGAAACCTCGCTGGGCCCGCCAAACGCACGAGGCAGCCACGAGTCGGCCACGGGCGGCAGCGAGGCGACACCTCGCCAGACTCACCTTACGCACGAGGCGGCCACGATGCGGCTACGGACGGCACCGAGGCGAAACCTCGCCGGACCCGAAAAGCGCACGAAGCAGCCACGATGCGGCCACGGGCGGCATAGTGGCGACACATCGCCCGACCCACCCAGTGCACGAGGCAACCAAGAGGAGGCCACGGACGGCAGCGAAGCGACACCTCCCCAGACCCAGCCAACGCACGAGGCGGCCACGAGGCGGCCACGGGCGGCAACGTGGCGAAACCTCCCCAGACCCACCTTACGCACGAGGCAGCCACGAGTCGGCCACATATGGCACCGAGGCGGAACATCGCTGGACCCACCCATTGAACGAGGCAACCACGAGGCGGCAATGCGGCGAAACCTCGAAGGACCCAGCGCACGAGGCGGCTACGAGGCGGCCAAGGGCGGCAACGTGGCGAAACCTCGCCGGACCCCCACCCAGCGCACAAGGCGGCCACGGACGGCAGCAAGGCAAAACCTCGCTGGACCCACCCAGCGCACGAGGCGGCCACGAGGCGGCCAGCGGCGGCCACGGGCGGCAGCGTGGCGAAACCTCGCCAGACCCGCCAGGCGCACGAGGCAGCCACGACGCGGCCACGGGCAGCAACGTGGCGACACCTTCGCACGAGGCGGCCACGAGGCGGCCACAGGCGACCGCGTGGCAAAACCTCGCCAGATCCCCCCAACGCACGAGGCGGCCACGAGGGGCAACGCGGCGAAACCTCGCAGGACCCACCCAGCGCTCGAGGCGGCCACAGGCGGCAACGTGGAAAAATATCGATGTGCCCGACCAGTTCCTAAGTGAGAGAAATAAAAACCCTAAGTGCAAGCACTGGGTCGGGAGATCTGTCTTTCGTGATGCACTACTTGCCAGGTCCAATGTGCAACGCGGAACTCATTGTTTAAAACATCGATGGCCACCCACGAACATGGTCACACGCATCGAACAACTCCGCGGGAACACCGACCCGACAGACGTCATGGCTTTCTGCTCGCATGGCTCACCGCAGCTACGGTGGCTCGTGCACAAGCGTGAAATCAGAATGAATGGCAGCTGCTTCAGGGTACGATGGGGTGGGTGCCATGCCACCAGCACTGTGGCGCCTACTGCCGAATTCCTGGCCGCAGGATGGTCTGCGCCATGGTGTCTCAACCATCCAAAGACTGGAGTGCCCCCGAGGCCGGTGGCTCCTTGAGAGCGGCGGGCGGCGTGCTAGGCGCCGGAGCCAGCTTGGCCTCGTCCTCTGCCATGCTGCAGGGGCCAGAAATGCCGATGAAGATCAGGCCGCCGAGAGCGCTCTCCGCGGCCTGGACCTCCCACCGCCACGCGCGGCCCATGTCGCACCCGAGGAGGTAGACGCACCCGTTCCTGCCCGAGAGGCGCACCTGAGATGCACAGGGCATCACAACGAGCGAGCCGAGCACGGGCTTACACTGCCGCTGACTGCGCAGCTGTGGTGGGCATCCGCGGTGCGGGTCGTCGTTGCTGTTTCGCACCCCCGCCTCCCGACCCACCCACCCATCCGCGACCCACCGACTGCCCCTGCATCGCGACCCAGGGACCTTGGACGCTCAGGCTGTGAGTGCTTTGAGGGAGATGCGGTAGGACTTAGGAGAGAAAGAGCATCCTTCAAGAAAATGAAGCCCTTCGCTTGCCAAAACACTCCAAACAATACGATCACTCGAGGGCCTCCACCCCCAGGATGCACAAGAACATCCAACAAGCACGAAAAACTCTAGGGTACCCTCCCCGAAGGGACCCTGATCTTATACCTCGGGCCGACTGTAGTGGCTAGCGATGGTGGCACACGAAAGACCGAAGCTGCAAGAATGAAAGGTACATCTGGAAAGCTAGTGTACACTTTGGTGGCAACATGGGAGCCTCCAATACCATCTTACTGGCTCTTGCGTATCGACACTCACCGACGCTTAATCGACAATAACCGACCCACGTCGACAATGAACCGACGCTGATCGCAGCTAAATCGACGCTTTCTGACCGACTACCAGACGCTAGCCCACGCTGATGCACCCTAAAGCCGGAATTGCGAGGACATACAGGGCCCACATGATTTGCTACCGCACTGCACTCATCCTCATGATCATGTTCGACTGCACGTGCTGTGCAACTCCCCCCTCGACTCGCACGCCCTCCCTGTGCTGGAACTGGGCCTGGAGAGGCGCGGGGACGTCTCATTGCACCGGCCTTGCAGACGTGCTGCAGCGGATTTCTGCGTGGATTTCAGTGGATTCTGCTCGAACGGTGTGGATTTCAGTATGAGCTTCGCGTGGATGTTTTTTGCTGGCCAAAAAGATCCGCACGAAATTCACCTCGAAATCCGAAACGAAGTTCTCCAGGACACTCTGGGCACATCTTATCGTTTTCCCAACGAAATCCGCTCTGCGATGGGCGCCGTGAGACGTCAAAACCCTGCACGGCCACAGGTTTCCCCGCCGCCCCCCCTCCCCAACGGGGGAAATCATGGGCCCATCCATCCGACTACCTGACTTTCTCGATTCGCGGCCCAAGGGCGCCATACTCCTTCCCCGCGGGGTCAGGTTTTTTGGCTCCGGATCTGCTTCTAATGGCCCTGGAGCCCGACAGTAACCCTCCTCCTCCCCCTGCTCCTCCTCCTCCTCCTCTTCTTCTTCTTCTTCTTCTTATTATTCTTATTATTATCGTTATTCTTCTCTTTCCTTCCTCCTCCTCCTCCTCCTCCTTCCTCCTCCTCCTCCTCCTCCCTCCCCTGCCCTCCTCCTCCTCCTCCTCCCCCCCCTCCTCCTCCTCCTCCTCCTCCTCCTCCTCCTCCTCCTCCTCCTCCTCCTCCTCCTCCTCCCTCCTCCTCCTCCTCCCTCCTCCTCCCCCCCCCGCCTCCTCTCCTCCTCCTCCTCCTCCTCCTCCTCCTCCTCCTCCTCCTCCTCCTCCTCCTCCTCCCCTCCTCCTCCTCCTCCTCCTCCTCCTCCTCCTCCTCCTCCCTCCTCCTCCTCCTCCTCCTCCTCCTGCCTCTCCTCCTCCTCCCCTCCCCCTGCTCCTCCTCCTCCTCCTCCTCCTCCTCCTCCTCCTCCTCCTCCTCCTCCTCTTCTTTTCCCCCCCCTCCTCGTCCTCCTCCTCCTCCTCCTCCTCCTCCTCCTCCTCCACCCCAGAGGCCGAACAAAACGAAAGAACAAACAGGATTCAAAAAAGCATGACTTCATCGTCGGAGACCTTGGGAGAACCAAAAGGTACTCGGGTACTGATGCTGCTACTCCCCAAACCTCTCCCGGAGCGCGTTCTGGCTAGACTTTCCGGGAGAAGTGAGGGCCCTCCAGAAGGAGCAGCGGTATCGGTATCTTTTCCGCCTCTGTGATCTCGGAGGCCTCCCAGCATGGGGTCGGAGTAGATGGGGTCGGAGGATCCCGCCGCATTGTCGATGCATCACCGACGGATGACATCGATCGGCAACACATCGGCCATGTTTCCGTAGAAAAACACTGAGATCCACATCGAGCCGCATCGCCGATGCATCGGCAATGCGGCGCGATCCTCCGACCCCATCCCTGCCCACTCTGGCCCCATCCAGGAGCCCTAGACATCTTCCGGGGCCCCAGAACCGTGTGAGGACGGACCGCGTGGTGACCTCGGAATCCCCAACCACCTCACCGCGCGGCCCGTCACTGCACGGCTCTGGGACCCTGGAGGCCCCCGTCGCTCGAGACACTCTCGGAGCAAGACCCGAGCCCCAAAGACCGCGCGGTGACCCCCACATGCCCCACTGCCTCGCCACGCGGTGTGGCCATCCCACCGCTGTGGGGAGCCTCGGGATCTGGGGAGGGGGCGGGGCCCGCTGCGGCGCACGCTTCCCCCCGGAAGAGGGCCGCACCTCGCTGCCGCCGTCGGCGCCCGCGCGCCAGAGCGCGTGCTCGCACGCCGCGCCCAAGGTCACGCACGCCCTCGCCTCCCGGCTGCCCTCGGCGGCGCGCCGCAGGGTGCGGGGTGGGTGGGCGGGCGGGGAGGGCGGCGGCCTCCGGAGAGGGAGGCCTGCCGAGCCAGGTGGGGTCGGAGGACCACGCCGCATCGGCGATGCATCCGCGGTGCATCATCGACGTCGGCGATGCTTCGGCGACGTCGACGTGAAAGCAAGACGGGATCCCCATTCAGCCGCGGATCCATCCTTCGATCTCGTCTACTCGAACCCCATCTGGGAGGCCTAGATGAGAAACCAGACATGCTCGAGTCGCGACAAGAATCGCAACAACACACTGTTGGGCAAATGTTCTGCCTCTGGGGGCCCTCGCCAGGCCCCGGGACCACAACATGAATCCCTGGCGGCAGGGGACCGTAAACAACTTTGCGCTCTGGCGGAGAGGGGGGCGTCGACATATATCCCCAAGAACATGAGACGACGAAAGACCACGGCAAACAACGGGAGACGGCGGGAGCCAATGGTGCCCCACCAGCTCCGATCACGGTCACCCCGCAATCGGCCTGTTCGGACAAATGGAGGACCCTTACAATACAGACAAGCTGCGTCGGAAAAGACGACTCTGGATGGAAAACTGGCCCTGGGAGAAAGGGCGGGACTTCCCAGGACCCCGTATGGGGAAAATCAACACATCGGGGCCTCCCGCAGGGACCCTGGAGGCCTGCGAGAGTCGGAGAGCTGGGGGGCCTCCCGCAGGGGGGCCTCCCGCAGGGACCCCAGAGGCCTGCGAGAGTCGGAGAAAGCTGGGGGGCCTCCCGCAGGGACCCCAGAGGCCTGCGAGAGTCGGAGAGCAACAACTCGGGGAACAGATAATAAACAAAAATTACACAAACGTGAACTTTCGGAGGTCCGCGCGGATCTCTTGGATCGGCGCTGACCCCCCCACTGGCGTGCGGAACGCGCCACTGGAGGGCCAGCCCCGATCCAGGAAATCCGCGCGGAACTCCGATAGTGTATGTTTGTGGCATTATCTCTTCAAAAAAAACTCCACGCCGGTCAAACAGTCAAACAGTCAACGACGACAAAATCTTGCCCAGTCAACCAGAGAATCCAGCAACACACGGCGACACGCGCCAGCGCTGCTACCAATGAGCACTTATTGTGCGAGACGCCAGGCACGAAGAGCCGCAGAAAGCAGCACTACGCAACAAGCGCCCAGGTCTCGTACAACCAAGAAGAAGAATTATCGACGCCGCGCCAGTCGGAGGCCCCGTCCTCGCGCATCACTGCGCAAGGAGCACCAGGCTCTTGCACCAGAGGCGAGAGAGCAACACGCGCAGCTTGAAAGACGACGCGCGTGCAAACCGAGACGCTCCTCCCTAAACAAGGCCACAGCCCCTGCCTGCTCACAGGGCCGCGCCCCTCGCGCCGCCTCCCCCCCGGTGCCCAGACATCCGACGACGTGGCTTTGTCCAGGGCGCGGCTTCCCCAGGGGCACTTCTTCGCCCCGCAAAGTGCACTTTTGGCGGCCCTGGGGCCCGACACGAGCGGCCCCCCTGAGTATCGTTCAACCGATCCCCATCCCCACCAGCGTGGGCTGGGCCCCACTGGCCGATTTGCCCCCCCTAGGTGGGGGTATGGGCCGTTCCCTACGGGTTTCGAGGGGTGTATCCCCAACCAGGGGGGTAATCTGGCGAGGGGCCTCGAAGGGGATGGCGATGGGGATGGGGGGCGGTTAGACGATGCTCACCCCCAGGGCCGAAGTCGAGGGACAAAAGCACGGGCTGCACAACTCAGATCGTCGGAGATCGGGGTGCGCGCAGCTGCCGCCTCGCCTGCACCCCCGCGGCGGGCCAGAGGTCGCCCTGCGGCGGCGCTCCCGCGGGCAGCCACCGCACGGACACGCGGCACTCCGCCTCCGCGAGCCCGAGCCTGCCGCACACGAGCGACACTACCTCCCGGCCCGCGCCGCCCGCGCCGCCGCCATCGCGCACCGCGTCCCGGAGCTCGCCTCGGCTACATGCAAGAGTGATCCTAGGCAAGAGTGACCCTGCGTGCGCCACGACGATATGTACACAGGCACCCGCTGACGAACTTTGCATGTAGAAAGTTGATGACTCTCAGTGATGATTTATAGACCGCCACCCTCCCCTGAGGCCCAGGGACAATCCATTAGAGGGTGTCAGTGTATGTATCTTTGTGGTGGAGACCCTAGGCAAGCGTGACCTGGTGTGCGCAGCTCTTGGGCGTCAGGGAGGGGTCAAACCCAAGCGCGCAAGCCGATGCTGTCGCATCGCGCGCAACGGTCGGAAGGCTACAGTGAGCCCGCACCAAAGGTCACTGTGGGCGAGGGGTCACGCTTACGTGTAGCCGATCGCTGAAGAGGTGGTAGTCGCCCTCCTCGCACAGCCCTCCCGGGACGGCGACCACGTCGTCTGGCCGCAGGGCACCTGAGACAACTGCATCAACATGACCATTCGGAATTCCGCCCAGAATTGTGAACCGGCGCCCGATCACCCAGGCGGCTGGCGCCGCCCCAGGCGCGCTGAGCGCGCCAGGGAGGGGAGTGCGGCGCCCATCCAAGAAATCCTGTCGGAGCTCGGGAAGCTGAAGCTTACGTACACGTCGGTCGGAAGAAGTAGGTAGAAACATGAAGTAGGAAGGCGGATATAGTAGATTGGGTCCAGGTCCTCCCAGAGAATAACAAAACACAGCAAAAGCATGTCGATTCTTGAAGTAGGAAGGCGCTTGAAGTAGATTGGGATCTGGGAATCCAAAAATACCTACTTTCAACGACCGGCGTGTAGACGTAGACGCAACTTTTCGTCTTCGAACCTAGGGGCTCGGGCACGGCCCCGGACCCCGCCGCCGCGCCGCCGCGCCAGCTCAGGTGGCGGACGCGCACGGATCAGCGGAGGCAAAAGGGTGGATCTAGGCCAGGGGCGGGCCCTGCAAGTGTTCGCCCTGGGGGCCATCGTCGAGTGCATGTTTACCCTTGGCCGCTGCCTGGGATGCCCATCTTCCTGGACCTCGGAAGTCGGTGGATCTGGTTATAGCTTTAGGTCGGGCGTGTTCCCCTACAGGCGAATTTTGGATGAACAATTAAACATACTAAAAATACCCCGAAATGATCAAACAAATGCTCAAAACATCGTCCCCAGACTATTTACCTAACAGCGAAGACTGATAGGTTTTTCGTAGGCCCAAAAGAGAGCATCTTGACTCCCCAGGGGGTCTGGGCAGATGCCGAACGGGTGCCGGGGAGAATCCGCGGAAGTCGTTTTAAGCAAACAGTTACACACTTCGTGGTCTTCGAGGTCCCAGAACTCCATTCCTGGGCATGTTTTTGAATGCGCGGAGCCAACTGTAGGCCACTTCGTGGTCTTCGAATTCCCAGAACTCCGTTCCTGGGCATGATTTTGAATGCTCGGAGCCAACTGTAGGCCACTTCGTGGTCTTCGAGTTCCCAGAACTCCATTTCTGGGCATGATTTTCAATGCCGGGAGCCAACTGTAGGCCACTTCGTGGTCTTCGAGTTCCCAGAACTCCATTCCTGGGCATGATTTTGAATGCTCGGAGCCAACCGTAGGCCACTTCGTGGTCTTCGAGTTCCCAGAACTCCGTTCCTGGGCATGATTTTGAATGCCCGGAGCCAACTGTAGGCCACTTCGTGTTCTTCGAGTTCCCAGAACTCCATTCCTGGGCATGATTTTCAATGCCCGGAGCCAACTGTAGGCCACTTCGTGGTCTTCGAGTTCCCAGAACTCCATTCCTGGGCATGATTTTCAATGCCGGGAGCCACCTTGAGGCCACTTCGTCGTGTTCTTCGAGTTCCCAGAACTCCATTCCCGGGCCACATTTTGAATGCTGAGGCAGGCTGATGCTGAGGCTGAGGCAGGCTGAGGCTGAGGCAGGCTGAGGCTGAGGCCGAGGCTGAAGGCAGACTGAGGCTGAGGCTGAAGCAGGCTGAGGCTGAGGCTGAGGCAGGCTGAGGCTGAGGCTGAGGCAGGCTGATGCTGAGGCAGGCTGAGGCTGAGGCTGAGGCTGATGCAGGCTGAGGCTGAGGCAGGCTGAGGCTGAGGCCGAGGCTGAAGGCAGACTGAGGCTGAGGCTGAAGCAGGCTGAGGCTGAGGCTGAGGCTGAGGCAGGCTGAGGCTGAGGCTGAGGCAGGCTGATGCTGAGGCAGGCTGAGGCTGAGGCTGAGGCTGATGCAGGCTGAGGCTGAGGCAGGCTGAGGCTGAGGCCGAGGCTGAAGGCAGACTGAGGCTGAGGCTGAAGCAGGCTGAGGCTGAGGCTGAGGCAGGCTGAGGCTGAGGCTGAGGCAGGCTGAGGCTGAGGCAGGCTGAGGCCTGAGGCTGAGGCTGAGGCAGGCTGAGGCTGAGGCTGAGGCCGAGGCTGAAGGCAGACTGAGGCTGAGGCTGAAGCAGGCTGAGGCTGAGGCAGAGGCAGGCTGAGGCTGAGGCAGGCTGATGCTGAGGCAGGCTGAGGCTGAGGCTGAGGCTGATGCAGGCTGAGGCTGAGGCAGGCTGAGGCTGAGGCCGAGGCTGAAGGCAGACTGAGGCTGAGGCTGAAGCAGGCTGAGGCTGAGGCTGAGGCAGGCTGAGGCTGAGGCTGAGGCTGCAGGCTGAGGAGGCTGATGAGGGCAGGCTGAGGCTGAGGCCGAGGCTGAAGGCAGACTGAGGCTGAGGCTGAAGCAGGCTGAGGCTGAGGCTGAGGCAGGCTGAGGCTGAGGCTGAGGCAGGCTGATGCTGAGGCAGGCTGAGGCTGAGGCTGAGGCTGATGCAGGCTGAGGCTGAGGCAGGCTGAGGCCGAGGCTGAAGGCAGACTGAGGCTGAGGCTGCAGGCTGAGGCTGAGGCTGAGGCAGGCAGGCTGAGGCTGAGGCTGAGGCAGGCAGGCTGAGGCTGAGGCAGGCTGAGGCTGAGGCTGAGGCTGAGGCAGGCTGATGCTGAGGCGAGGCTGAGGCTGAGGCTGAGGCTGATGCAGGCTGAGGCTGAGGCAGGCTGAGGCCGAGGCGAAGGCAGACTGAGGCTGAGGCTGAAGCAGGCTAAGGCTGAGGCAGAGGCAGGCTGAGGCTGAGGCTGAGGCAGGCTGATGCTGAGGCAGGCTGAGGCTGAGGCTGAGGCTGATGCAGGCTGAGGCTGAGGCAGGCTGAGGCTGAGGCCGAGGCTGAAGGCAGACTGATGCTGAGGCTGAAGCAGGCTGAGGCTGAGGCTGAGGCAGGCTGAGGCTGAGGCAGGCTGAGGCTGAGGCTGAGGCAGGCTGAGGCTGAGGCTGTGACTGCGACTGCCGTTGCCACTGCGACTGTCATCGCGAATGCGACTACGACTGCGAGAACAGCAGAATTCTACAACTGGATTCTCATCTGAATCGTAAGGGGAATGCTTCCAAATATGCTCCTACATATCGCTGTTAGGTTGCTTTGCCGGGATAGGTTTTATACTATTTCTGAACATCCCCTCTGTAGAGTGACAGAGTCCTAAAAGAGATCGGCTCCCCAGGCGGTGCATGTCTTCGTTCTCTCCAACGCCATTTTGGATGTGGAGGAGGGAAGCTGAGGGCAATGATTGGAGGCCTGGAAATGGGCACCAACACCAACACAAGGGGTTGCCGCCACAGGGGGGAGATGATCCTAGATTTCGGTGTTGGTGGAAAAAAATCGGCCACTTCGGAAGCCAGAATATTACCGCCATCACCGAGATCGGGATTCTTCTTCCCTCGGTGGAGGCACACCGCCGAAATTGGTGTTGGTGTCAACCCCTAGGCCTGCGATAATGACCGCGAGATGGAGTCGCCCGTCCTCAACAAAATCAGTCAACACCGAACCGGGAAACGGGACTTAATCGGCGTGTGCGTCGGATCGGGCCGCACTGGCACGAAATCGGAATCGATCTGGATCGGCTGCACCAGAGTGCACAACAACGCCATGTAGGCATCGCATCGGATCGCCGGGAAATCGAAATCAAATCGAATTGGCCGGCACCGATACCAAATCGGATCGACCAGATCGAAACGGGCCCCGCCTCAACGGGATCCCCAGGCGGTGGATATGGACAGGTCCCCGCCTCGCAACATGGGCGAGCGGAGCCCCTGAACGCATGCAGTGGTCCCCCCCTGGTTTGGGAGCACACAGTGACATAAGCGTAAAACGCTCGGAGGTCCACGCAGATGTTTCGGACCGGCGCTGGTCCCCCCCATGGCGTGCTGATAGCGCCAGGTGCGGCGCTGGAGGTGCCGCTAGGGGGGTCCAGCGCCGATCCACGAAATACGCGCGGACCTCCGAGCTTTGATGCTTACAGTCGGACCTAGGACAGAAGAACACCCTTCACGAGCATGAGGCCCTCCGCAAGGACAGAAGAACCATCCTTCAGGGTACCCTTCCCCAGGATGCACAAAAACGCACAACAAATACGAAGAACAGTACGGTACCTTCCACAAACCGGCGTCGATCGTACCGACCGTATGTCATTGCTGGTTCCCCTGGAGCAGTGCTCCCCCCTGTGCTGCCCGCCCCCGTTGCCGCCGCCGGCATGGACGGCCGCACCAGCGTGGATGCCGGGTCGAAGGACACGGTGTTTGTACCGGGCGCGAGGAGCCGCTCGCCGAGCGCCGCGCGCTGCGCCTCTCTCGGGACGGCAGGGCAGAAAGGTGGCGAGGGCTCCGGTTTTCCAGCGGGGCCTCTCCGCGACGCCTTCGGCCACGGTTTCCTGGTCCCCTCCTGCTCCTGCTCCATCTTCGGTGACAACTCACGGGAGCCTCCCATACCATCTTTTTGGCTCCTGAGAGTCGACGCTCGCCGACGCCAATTGAGGCTGAGTCGACGCTAAATCAGCGCTGCGTCATCGACTAACAGAAGCTAATCGGCGCCAAATCGGCGTTGAAGACCGAATCCCGTTGTTCAGAGAGTTTCCTCTTCCAACCCCCTTCTTCCCCTTCGGGGAGGGGTTTACCCCTTCCCCCCAGGCCCCTTCCCCCAGGACCTGGACAGGGGGGAGGGGCGGCGGGTCGTTAGA